TAAATAGTTATTAATTAATTGTGTTTGTCCTTAGTGTTTCCTTTTAGGTATGTGAGCAAAACGATGTTAGTCACTTCAAGTATAAAACATTAAGTATGTCAGTGAAAGTTGATAGGCTTCCCTGACTTCTATTTTCATGCATACTCTATCTTCACATCTTATTATAGTGAATGTTCCACACCGAACATCACAAAATTTTACCAATAGTATCAGTCAAATACAAAGACAAGAAAAATCAAAACCGTTTCCGACTTCATTTTCAGACGTAATTTATTCGAAAGACGTAACAAAAATTTGAAATGACATGAAACTACGTGTTGGATATGGCTATTACAGCTGCTCAAATATTGTAAAATTGAACTGGCATCGAAATCAAACTGAAGCAATTCGATTTGCTTTGAACGACTTCCGGGCTAAACTAGCGTATATTAACAACAAAATAAAAATTCACTCGAACTCCTAGTAACCCAATATCACACTAATTAACTTGCAGAGTAGACGCGGCTTTCGAGAAGGCAAGCTACGGGTGCCTGTGATTTAACTGAAAGAAGCTTACCCAACGGACACAGCTTTATTTAACGGAAGTACATATAGTTGAATGTCAGAAACCGCCGAAAACATGTATCAAGCATCAAGCACATGCATGCATGCATGCATAACGTAATTCACCGTAAATAATATTCTTATCCTGAGTTATTAAGGCATAAACTAATATCAACACAGATTTCTCCTGAAAGTTTCAAGTTAAACTTTATATAAAAAAAAAACAACGAAGTTTTTTTGCAATTCAGTCAACGTCGCATTTTGGATGCTATAACTTTGTCAGTATTTCCTTTTTTGAACTTAAGGTGGCGCCATACAATATTCATCATTGGGGGACTGGTACCTAATCTTGAGTTTTCGCGCGAAAATGTTAAAAATATATGCAAAAATAAATACAACTTTAAATCAGTCTAAAATCCGAACAAGTCATGTTTATTTTGATGTTTCGAGTCTTCCTTGTTCTCATTTGTTCTCAAAGAACAAACTTCGCCCTGATTTAGCTCTGAACATTGAATAACTAGTCTTTTTAATTAGAAGACATTTTAAGGTAAAAAATGCAATGTTCAACGTTCAAACTCTTGTGAAAACCGGCGATTGGCCCGACCGGCGAAAAGTTTTTTACTCCAATATTTGGCGATTTATAAGTCCATATCCGGAGTTTTTTTTTACTTACAACTGGTAAATGTATTCAAAGTGTTACTAACAGCAAAGGAATTCAGTGAAACAGCATCATGCGCCGGCTCAAACTGTTTTAACTTGTCAATAACAACATGAAAACACACAAGTTACGACTGAAAACGAATATAAAACAATGTAGAAAAGCCAAAAAGTTCGTACATGTCACACATATCTTATACCAAACGACCGACAATCACCTGTTTTCTTGGCATTATCCCGAGTTAGCATGCAAAACTAAATATATTTGTATTTCTGAGCAAGAAAACACAACATATATTTGATATTTCGACGAGACTAAAAACTTTTTTGTGCGTGTTTTTCTGGAGACGCGCCTGCGAAAACATGTATGCGCGCATGTCAATTCATTGATCTTGCAGAGTGTGAAAAACTTTGGCCGCGCGAAATAAAACCGTGATTATTTCCAAAACGAGTTCGCGGTAAGGTACCCTGAAAATTTGTACATGAGTAGATACATACTTCAAGATTTCATGATGGAAAAATAAAAAAAAATTGTCGACAGAATCTGTCAAAAAAGTCGAAATCTAATTCTAAAGAATTAAGTCGACAGATTTTTTTTAAACTTCCCAGAAATGTTTCTCGACACTAACGTAACTGATTATCATTTTTGAAAAAAACTCGAAAAACTGCGATATTTTCGGCTATCAGTTTATTGTTACCATTATTCGTTATAGTTGTCATGGAAACGCGACTTTTATCAGAATTCATCTTGTTTGCGACACGTCTTGCTATGTGTTACAATTATAAGTAAAACTTAACCCTGTAATAGCATTTAAACAGAAAATATTCAACTTTTGCTCCTTTGGCTAAAAAGTGTAATTGAGCCACCTTGATGTTCTGTTCTTACAAAGAGTTCACACTGTCAGCACAATGATATGATCAACCTACGCGTTATAGCAACTTTGACACACAATAATATATAGTCCTCAAGCTGCGCAATAATAATCTCACAATCGCAATTTTAGAAAGCGACCAGCCTCATATAATTGTTTCTTCGGGCTTTCCGTAGGATCAGATGGAAATCTAGCTCAGGCAAAGATAAATTATTTTGCACGACCCTGCATGCATGACCTGCTCCCAACTTGATCTTGTGGATCAGTTGGTATAGAGCGTCGGACTGGTAAACCGAAGCTCACGGATATGATTTCCAGCCGACGTCCTGTAGAGTGTTTCTCTACATGCTCGGCCAGGGCATCTTTCGGAGAAGCAACTAAGATCAGTGCCCATACACCCGTTTTCAAAACGACGCGACCATGCCGAAAATAGCTAGAGTTAATACATCAGTTTTATGTCACACAGTGACGAAGCGAACATTCGAATTGATTGTTGTTGTATATTCTTTGTATGTTTATATAAAAAAGCTTAGAAGCATTTTCAAAATATTTTTGTGTTAATTATTGCAAAATCTAAGAGCAACAAAAAATTAAATGTTACTATTATAGTTTAGCGCAAACGTGTTTGATACTCACGGCTCAAACTGAACGTTAAATTGTTCGTTTTCAATCTTTAAAACAATTTCTTGTTGTGATGGTTTGTTGTTTCTTTTAATTTGTATAATTAGACTATAAAGAAGGTCGATTCATCCCACACCTGGGTGGATAATGAACAATAAAAATTGTTTCCCATGTGTTTTGAAGGTCCTTAAAAAACTAATTAATAATTCAGGAGGAAAACACAAAGAAAAATCATAAGCGTGTCGTGGTTTTATATGTGATAAAAAATCATGTTAATTTACATAAACTTTAGCTTTGATTTTCTCAGTTTAGACAAAGTTTATTTTAAAAATTACTTCGCCAATGAACTCGTGTAAGATGAGTCGTTTTTTAAGCTATTTAAAGCACTTGTAGTCGTGTTTTATTAAATAGTACATAGCTGTTGTTCGAAACAGCCAGTGGCAGTGATGACGCAAACGAATGGCTCGAATATTTCTTTAAAGCGGTCCATGGTTTCTACTTCTTCATTGTTGTTGGATAAGGACGCTATCTGGTGCATGCATGGATAGCGTAGCCATGTTTTTGAACAATTTGCTCACCATTTGAGCAACCAATTTGAGATAATTTAAGCAATTCGACTTGCTTTGAACAAAGTTCAAAGCTGTACTTGCATGTGTATAATAGGAAGTTTAAAATTCACGTTTGCGGGAAGACGTTATTATTATTATTAGTTTAATAAAATCCATTTTGCCGCTAAAGCTGAATTACATGGAAACAATATTTACAATATTAAATATTAAAATTTACGTTAACAATGTTATATAGTATGATAATATGTATTCTATCCTAAATTAGGGTAGATTACGATAATATACTCTAACTATTAAACTACCTATTATAAAAATGTATTCATAAAATGTTAAATATATTTAATGGTAAAAAAGTTCTTTAACCGTTCAGACATTATCGGTAAGAGTTGCGGATTATTATTACGCAGATCATAATTATGAGTTCGGTCTGGTAGACCGGATTTAACTATTGCAGTTAAAGGGTTGTGTGGCGAATCTTGGTCTCGAAGTGAGTTAATTAATTTCCTACATGCTTCTTCTCTTCTTGTACTCAGTAGTTTAATGTTACTTTTGTGTAATGCTTCATCATAAGATAGATGGGGATACGCGATTTTTAAAGCTCTTTTTTGCACCGACTCAATAAGGTCTGATAATGTCTTTGGAAGAGCGGACCAAACTGGTGATGTATACTCCAACTGGGATCTTATAACTGCACAATAAATATGAACAATGTTTAAAGGGCTCAATCCAGCTTTCTTTAGATGCGTGAATTCGCTTTCTTTAAAATTTTATCTACGTGTATATCCCACGAAAGATTGTTAGTCAACCACACGCCTAGTAGTTTAAAACTGGAGACTCTCTCCACCACATCACCGCCTATAAAAATGTCATTTTCTACTAGTTTATACTTAAGAAACGTAATAACCATATCTTTGCATTTCTTTGGATTTAGTCTCATTCCTCGTTCGTTTGCATAATCGGATATTTAGTCCACGATAATTGGTAGGAAGCTGGGTGAACATCGTGGAATTATTTCCAAGACCGTAGTATCATCGACAAATTTGACTCTCCCAGGCCTTGAGCAAAGAATTTACAAGGACTGCAAAAAGTAGCGATCCTAGTTTTGTTCCTTGTGGTAGACCACCGTTTACTTTCTTCCACGACGAGTATGAGTTTTCAATTCGCACACACTGTTCACGGTTGCTAAGAAAATCTTTTATCCACCTCACTATGGCAGGATGTACACCGAGATTTTCCAGCTCGCATATTATGACATTATGATCAACAAGATCGAACTCCTTTTTAAAGTCTGCAAAAAACAAACTAGCGGGGCAGGAAGTGTTCTCAAGGGCAGACAAAATGGTGTGCAGGAGGTATGTTAGGGCCCTGAGTCGTAGATTTCCCTGGTAACGCAAACTGCTTCGTGTCCAATTTACTCTCAATTTGGGCAAATAATTTTGTCAAGGTGAACCCCTCCATGACCTTAGAAATTTGGGACGTTAATGATATGGGTCATAGATCGTCCTCCACGCTTTGAGGTAGTGAGACTTTAGGGATTGGAACTACAAAAGACCGTTTGAGGTTCATCGGAAACACGCCCTGAATTATAGACGAATTGTAAATGTCCGTAATGACTGGGGCAAGTTCATATGCAAAACTTTCAAAATTTTGTTAGGTATTATATCTGGACCAGGGCTTTTATTGGTTTTAATTTTGCGAAGTTCATTGTACACTTTATTAGCGTCGATGAGGTATTCACCTGGTACATTGAAATCCAATTGTTCTTCCTCGCGTGTTAAAGGAGTAAAGTGTGATGTAAGACCGGAAAGGAAACAGTTAAATACTTCAGCCAAGTCATGGCAATTAGGAATATCATTAGAAAGTCGTTGATTATACCAACAACTTTTGGAAGATATACCACCCAACGACTTAATTTCTTTCCACCGTCTTGAGGGATTGGAAGTTTTTAGTTTCTCAACTGATTGGGCATAATACTTAAATCGGGCCGATTTAATTGATTGCTGGACTTGGTTTCGCCAGAGTTTATACGAATCAGAATTTTTCCCATAATAATGGAGAGCTTTTTGACGTTTTATAATTAACTCTTTTATTGATGACGTCAGCCATGGTTTGTCACATTTAGTTACTTTAGTTCTTTTCAAAGGGAGTAAAATATCAATCATATCACTCATTATGTCATTAAATTTTCCATAATTATCTTCGCACGCATTTGTAGTAAAAATATCTGACCAATCAAATGAAGTTATCCAGCGGCCAAAAGGTTGTAACGAGCTTTCCCTAAGGTCCCGCTTCCATACCTTGACTTTATCAGGTTTTAAAGGGGGATTTAGGGATTTTAAACAAACCATGTTATGATCACTGTTTCCTAGAGGTGGAAATTTGATAGGATCGTATAGGCTATCATTGCGGTTAGTTAGGCACCAATCTAAGGTTACATTATCTCTAGCATGCAGCTTAATTATTTGGAAAAGGCCAATTGATCTTTGGATATATTTTGCGTTGAAACCAGTACTCCTATAATTGAAGTCTCCTGTGATTAAAACAAGGGCATCAGGATGTGATTGCATGAAAGTATCAACATTGGTTTGGATATGAGAATAAAGGTTTACATTTTCGGTGTGGCCAGCTGATGTGGAGTGGTAGATTACAGCCAATAGTATAACTGAAGTCGAGCGGGGGAGCCATGTGGGTCTAACAAGGAGTCACAAGGACTCAACTGTAGGATCTTCAAAAGCAGTTAGGCGTTGACAATATATACTGTTGTTTATAAAAATGCATACTCCACCTCCACAAGACGAAGAGCGATCATTTCTAATCAATATTAAAATTTGGAAGAGATATTGCCGAATCGGGAATTGTAGAGGAAAGCCAAGTCTCAGTAATACACACAATGTCGATTTGGTTGATGGAAACAACGACACTTAATTCATCTATCATAGAGGCAATTGAGCGCACAATGGAAATGGGCAGGCATAATTTTCGTTCGATTTCTGCCTGTCATATTTTCTTTCATATGACACAGGAATAATTATACATTCTACTTATAAAACAACAAGCCCATGCATTTACTTTTTATTGCTTTATAGCGTAAGATTTTTTCTTTGCTTGACGTTTGTCGTTTGTCGTTGAACGTTTAACAAAATAAATATTTTTGAATTTGAAAAAGAACTGCTAACCCATGCAATGTTTAACGTTTGGAGAAGACAGATAGATATACATATAAATAGATAGATAGTTTACTTAGATATATCATTGCAGCCAAAGTGGCTGAATTGTACATAAATTTACATGATATAAAAGTTAAAAGTGACTAAAATAGTGATAAGCTAATTTTACATGTATGCAAATAGCCAACAACTCTAGCTATAAACTAGGATTAAAAAGCTTTCCTACTCATGAATTACTAAATAATTATAGTTTATCTGTTTTGCACACAGGAAAATTAAGTTTTTTAGTCGATCTGTTTTGCACACTGGAAAATTAAACATGCGTCTATTCCTTAGTCCAATATCGGTTTCGCCAGTTTCGGCACCAGATAATTCAGTTTGTGGTTGGGATCAGAACATATTTCTTCAAGATGTTTATTCGTTAGGTATTCTCTTCGTTCGTATGAATAACATAAGTTACAGTTTTTCAGTGCGTCCCGATAATTAATGTTTGGGAATGTGATTTGCATTGCGCGTTTTTGGATACGTTCTAATTCATCTGACAAATACCTGGGTAATCCGTTGTGGAAAACAGGACAGGCCTGTTCGGTTATAGGGCGAATACAAGTCATGCAGATGGTTAAAAGTTCCTTTTCGGACACGTTTTAGTTGCCTCAGGAAATACAACCGAGTGGAAGCTTTCTTAACAATTTCCTCTATATGATTGTTCCATTTAAGATTATTGGAAATGTTCAGACCCAGGAATTTGATGGCATAGTCATAATTTCTACTGGTTTATCATTGATAACAATAGGCGCGTATTCAGGGTGACTTTTTGTAAAAGAGATCCGAAGCTCTTTGCATTTCTTCTCATTAAACTGGAATTTGTTCCCATACGTTTTTCCGGTTAGTTCATTTATTATATTCTGCATCTTGCCTGTCCCCCCTTTTTCTACCATCTCAGCGGCTGTGGTGTCGTCTACGTATTTCCAAAAGTCGGTATTGGTGGTGTCTATATCGTCGATCATCAATTGGGGAACTCCTGCCGGCACATTTTTTCATTCCGATTTACAGTCCTGTGACAATTTCACCCTTTGTTTGCGGCATTTCAGGAAATCAATGATCCAACAGACGATATTATGGGGATATTTAGATCTTTTAGTTTCCGAACCAATATATTGTGATCGATCAGGTCGAAAGCTAGTCTCCTACGCATACCTACTTAGCGGGCTGAGCCCTCACGTAAGGTATGCTTACTTTGGCCAAGAATTTCTTTCCTCAAAATTAGCCAATCACAGCTTTACCCACGAAAATTTTGGGGCTCGACCTTTGATCTTGAGGCTTGGGTCGTCAAAAGTTTCAAAACATTTAATCTTAAACATTTCATATCTTCATTTGTACGTATTCATATCTTAAACCAATTTCTGCGAGAGCTGAGAGATATATTTGTTATACATATACCAGTCTACAAATTTACAATATGGAACAATTGTAAAATCTGTTAGAATTTGTCGAGCTATTGTTTTGAACAGACAGTGTAGTAAAATCGAACAATATCACGTATTTCGATTTCGCGATGTTTTGATTACTTTACAAGCGTTTGCAGGTGTTACTGTAACACGGGTAATATTAGTCTAGGACCTGTATATGAGTTTGTATGCATTTCATTTAGGACAGATAATCTCAACTGTTTTAGGGCAAGTTGACCATGACGGTCAACATGGTAACGCTGCCCGAACCCCAATCCGGGACGAAACGTCCGAAACTGACCACACCCAAAAACGACGCTTTCGCCATACTGCTATCTACCAAACCATAAAAGCTTTGGCTATTCTGAGGTGCTTATATGGTTCAGAGATGGTACTTTTGGGGGTGGTCATTGGTAAGTGTGAAATGCCTAGCACTAATATTTCACAAGAAAATGACCATGCAATAATCATAGTTAAACGTCAATTTGTGGCTTGCAACTTCAGATAAACAGCAGTGGACTTACATTACCTTTTTCCCTAAATCTTTTTGATAGAAACATAATTGGTACTTATTTAAATATATTATCACTGGTTTGGTGTAAAATAGTTAATATTTTCTGACCGAAATAATAATTTGAAATGTGCCTACCTCCTGCAAATGGACGTATTTGGCCAAGTTCTCCACTTTACTCCGCTGTTTATCGGCGATCTCGTCGACATCCTACAAAAAATTTAAATCATCTCAGACATAATGGTATCAAGAACATTTTAAACAAGTTTCAACTTGGTTTCAAGTAGATCATACCTGTTTAACCATCGACAAGGTAAATCCACAACTTTGTCCAAATTCGGCGCCATTTTGTCATCCCATGTCGGTTGTCAACAATTCGGCCTTGTTACTCTTCCATCCAAGCCATTTCCATTCCACTAATAATAAATTTAACCCTTTATAACGGTAGGAAACTAAAAAATCTAAACAAAATATAAGAAATGCGCCATTTTATCACCCTGTAAAGTGTTGTTTACGAGTCCTTCGAAACATTTCGTACAAATCTCGCGTGGTTTAGCAACAGGGACTTGGCAGGGGGGGTAGAGACTTGAAAAATGAAAGGAAAGCCCACACAGTATCCAACAATCAACATTTAATTTGTATGACTTTTTCATATTAATAAATAATAATATGTATATATTTGTCGCTACAGGAAATAAAACAAACGTTTGTATGATTGTATTTAGCTTTTAGTCTATTTCACGCAGCGTTCTTCTACCTTCGTGAAATAATTCACCCCCTCCTGTCACGTCCCTGTTACTTTGTCACGCGATATTTGTACGGAATGTTTTGAAAGACTCGTGAGCAAAATTTTACAGGGTGATAAAATGGCGCATTTCTTATATTTTGTTTAGATTTTTTAGTTTCCTACCGTTATAAAGGGTTAAATTTATTATTAGTGGAATGGAAATGGCTTCGATGGAAGAGTAACAAGGCCGAATTGTTGACAACCGACATGGGATGACAAAATGGCGCCGAATTTGGACAAAGTTGTGGATTTACCTTGTCGATGGTTAAACAGGTATGATCTACTTGAAACCAAGTTGAAACTTGTTTAAAATGTTCTTGATACCATTATGTTCAGGATGATTTACATTTTTTGTAGGATGTCGACGAGATCGCCGATAAACAGCGGA